TACAATGTGCCCTTTGGGCACCTCAGAAGGATTCTCCAGTCCCCTAGGGATGCTGTCTATCTACCATTTTATTCCTCCAGGCATAACACCTGCTCTCACTTTGCTCCTCAAAGTGTGGTCCAGAGAGTAGCACCATCAGAACTACCTGGGAGCTTGTAAGAAATGCAGATTCACGGGCCCTACCCCAGAGTCCAGCTTCACTTTAATCGGATCCACTGTGATTTCTGTGCACATGAACGTCTCACAAACACTGCTCTGGAGGATACACCGAGCTCTTACAGATCTGGATCATTTTCCTGTCCCTTCTATGTCATTTTACTCTGTCTCTAGTTTACTTAGAATCATGACATTTCTGCATCACAGAATACTGCAGATGGACTGCACTGTAGAGATGAATCAATCCAACCCCTTCATTAATGGATCAATAAGTTGACCAAGGTTAAATCTACTCACTGATGAAGAGGAAGGTCCGGAATTTCTACAAGCTTAGTTATCATATAGCTCATTTACTTTGGGAATTCATAACCTATGTTTTCAGCTACAAGTAGCTCTGTGGATTACCACTGACTATTTTTAAACACTGAAAACCCCACACATATTTTAACAGAAATACACTCAGTGCCCAGTTCATAATCTCAGAACATCTAGCACTCTGAAGTATATAATAGCACTATTCAGTAACATTCAACCCTGAGACTTATATAATGAGTGCATTATAACGTGAAGAACCATCAAAAGTCAACCACTGCACACATTCGTGTATGCCCACCTTGGGCTCACCCTTGATTTTATTAGTAAGGCCACGGCTTAAATGTCTGTGCTTGATTCCTGGTATAAATCACAACTTCACTTCTCTCGTCAATTGATTGCAGTACACCACTGAGCCCTAACAGCTTATTTGAGAGCTGCGGCTATGATAGCCCCAAGAACTACATTTTTCAGGGCTGGATCACTCTAGGACAGTGGTTCTCCAACTTTAATCACCAGTGGAAAAGCAGCTTTTTGGGCTACCTTCAGAGTTCATGATTCAGTAGGCCTGGGATGGGGCCCAAGAATTTGCATGTCTAACAAGTTCCAGGTGATGTCGGTGTGGCTCTCTGGGGACCACATTTTGAGAACCACTGCTCTGGTACCTGCTAATTGTGGACTGGCCCATGTAAGACTTGTAGAAGTCCCAGACCTCTTGTTAAAAAAGACTTTTCATCTTGAGAGGAATAATTATCTCTACCTGCTTCCTGAACCACCAATTTGTAGGTGGGCTCTGATGTGCCCTTACCTGTCTGACAGGTATAACCCATGCCCCTGGCTTGCTACATCATAGCTTAACTTCTCTGCTCCTGTTCCTCCTCTTGGTCCAACCCTTCCCTTTCCCCTTGCCCTGGTCTCTCTCCGATTCACTCTCATTCTTTCTCATCCAGCCGTATGCTTCTTTCTCTGCGTATTGTCAAGCTGAGCCTTAAGTCTCATCCTGTTCCTCTGCACCTGATAGACTCCCATCCCACCTAGCAATTGGCTCACTGTGACCCAGGTTCAGGTCTTCGTCCCTTGAAACTTCATCCTGCTCCCTCCTTTCTCTGAGGCTGCATCTATTTGAGCAGTTGCCCAAATTCTTTTCAATTTGACTTCACTTCCTCTCTTAACCTTGACAGGATTTAACTCTGAGTTCCACCAAATCTGAGGAAATAAACTTCCTAAAGCCTAGCACTAGATCACTACCTGGATTCCATCATTTGTTCATGATATTATTTCCAAGTACAGAACTGGAACAGGAACAATTCTTGGTCAAACCGCCACTACAAGTGCAACCGAGATTAGCGCAAGGCTTACCGTGAATGAACCACAGCATCTGAAACCCTTTCTCATTGAAGCCAACCCCATCGGTGTGGAACAGCACTTGAAGCTGGGAGCCTGTGGTACTCCCTGGAGGGGGCAGGCTGTCTCCGCAGTAGCGCCCCATCCTCTGCGGTCCATCGTAGAGCTGAAATCAAAGAGAAACGTCCCGGTGGAGAAGCACTTCCCATGGTTTGTCAGCTGGAAAGAAAGCCAAGTCTACCCACGTAGCAAAGACTGTTCCTTGGTTCAAAAGCTGGAGGTAAATCTGTCGAGGTGGATTGAGTACAGGAGGCTCAACATAAGAATTAAAAGTAGATAATTGGATAGAGACGGTTTTAGAGATGGATCTGATTCCTAAGCGCAATAAATTTGGAAATCCAACTATTAGTTTTTGGCTTTATGTCAACCTAGCAAGTCCAAAGTATAGTCCAGGCAGAGAATAGGGAAATGGTCGACCAAACCAGCTGCCTTTGTGTATTAATGACACACAGGAGATGCTCAATGAATAGCAGCTACATAATTGCAAGATATAATTTTCTACATAAACACTCCCTGTAAAAAAAAATCAGACACTTTAAAAAGGCATGAAAAAGGAAAATGCAAAGATTAATCCCACTGAAGATAACATTGTGTTAATACCAGAAATTCTCTTGTTGATATTTTTCATTTGCATATATGTGTGTGTTTGTGTGTGTG